CCTTAGTGCCACTGGATCAAAATCCTGGAATTCCCTCCCTAACAGCATTGTGGGCACATGAACTACAGTGGATTTAACAAGGCAGCTCACCACTATCTTTGGGGCAACTCAGGGTGGACAAAGTATGATGGTCTGTAGAGCCTTCAGATCTCATGAAAGAATTAAAAATATTCAACCCTCTTTCTACGTTTCCAGAGATAAAATAATTTGTACCCAGTAATCTTATATTTATATCAGATCACTCATGAAATATTAGGTCGGTCACGGATTACTCATGCTTACTTTGAAATGGAGTGGTGTTCAAATATTCTGTAGTGGATACACTGAGGTAGGAATGGAAATAATAATATGCTTCCTTACTGAAGGAGTAGTTCATGAGATACATTTAAATTCCTATATTCCTTCTACAGATGCAATTTTGAATTTCTTTTCCACTTGACAAAACCTCTTGTTCACTTCCCAATATTTCCGATGTCAGTTAGTTACAGAATGTCCCATCATCTACAGAAGATTTACCACATGTTCCAGGTGCGCTCTCAATATGATGCCTGGGTACCAACCGCTGGTGACTTGAAGTTAGGGTGAAGTGCTGCCACCAGTCCTCCAATGCTAGCCTAAGGGTAATTGCAGTGGAAAGTAGGCCACAAGCAAGTCTCAGCAGAAGGAGGTTCCTGCCTTAGATAACAATACGCAGTTTATTACAATCACAGTTACCGGTTTGTTGTTACATTAACTCGGAGGCAAATTAGTTATTACTAACCAGACAGGTAGAGAACATGCACGTGTCCCCATCAGGGCACAGTGCCAGAGTCCAACTCATCCAACAGCAACTGCCAGGAGTCCAGAACATTGTCACAACCTGCCCTAGTCTCCATCATAAAATGACCATCGTGTCCCATCTCAATCAATCAACCTCTTCATAACATACCCCCAAAGGGAACTCAGTTTAATCTTCAATTGGCTGTGAATAGGGTGCCAGATTGAGGCCTCAAATTATCCTTGTTCCTCTCAGTATTAATCCTGCACTGAGACGAGACTCTAAATAACTGTTAGCAGCTGCTTCCCTGCTAGATTCTTGAGATGTAAAATGACGAATCAGTGAACAAATAGCTTTTCCTCAAAGTCAGTGGGATTATTACAGAGACAGTAGGAACTGCAGATGCTGGAGAATCTGAGATAACAAGGTGTAGAGCTGGATGAACACAGCAGGCCAAGCAGCATCAGAGGAGCAGGAAGGCTGACGTTTCGGGCCTAGACCCTTCTTCAGAAATCAGTTATTACAGACTGGAATAAGGACAGTTTGACAGCTTTGTTGCACTTTTGCACTAATGAAGTACAATGCCTTGCCTTGTACAACATTCATGCATTTTCCCTTCATACCTTCCAAAATTCTGTTCCCAAACCATTATTATTTTGGGTTTATAAATTTTTCTTTTATATTCCAATGGCTGAGACAGATATATAGTACAACATTGGAAAGAGACAGAGACAACACAGTGTGGAGCTGGAGTAACACAGCAGGTCAGGTAGCATCAGTGGTGAGGAACACCGCAGGCCAGCAGCTTCATTTGGTGCCCAATTACCTTTAACCACAGCACCCTCAGCTCAATTATCAGACACCTCACTAACATTCTACCTGCAGTGTTAAACATCAATAAATCGGTAAAACATTCTTATTCCAACAGTGTTATTCTACAATAACAAATATTAAAAAACAAATTATTTTGTATCTTCCACATCCTCTTTTTCCCATCCTATCCCAGAAAGTAAATGATCTGTGCATGATTGTTACAGGAACATAGACTGATGTACAACTAAAATACTGTATGCTGGCAAAAGATGTGAAGCTGAAGACAAATTTTACACGAGAGAAGCTCATGAGCAGTCTCACCCCCTCCTTCACCTCCAACTTCCTGAACATACCAAAGCCAAAAATCTGTCAATTTAAAATACAGACTCCAACAGTTAAGCAAAATATCGAGACAGCAATTCACCTGATATCTACAGAATTACAATGCATCTCAGTTGCTTTTTTTTTAAAAAACTGACATCCAGTTTTAAGGATTGCATCTATTTATTTGAAGCTTGCTGCCAACAGCAAAATCCTGAGGGGCGGTTTGTGTGTGCGTGTGCGTGGAGAAGAGGGAGGGAGGGGACACCGACTTGCATTCTTGATGAATTAAAATTTCAAAGTGTTTCACAGGAAAGAGATTTCATAGGACCAGGTGGTTTTCAAGCCCAGCCTTCAACAGCAGTGCCCCTGAAGTAAACACCACACAGCACACCAAAGTCAAACATTGATATGCTGAGAAACTGAAATGTTCCTGACAACCTTTACAGAAACAAACTCATTTTAATACAGCTGGCTCATATGGAATTTTCCCAGGCAGTGGAAAGTTGGCAGCACAAAGGTAAATTGTTGCAAACCGTAATGCACCATTGTTTTATGGTCATTATGTCAGCTATAAGATCATCATACGATACAAACAAGGCAATCTCTATGCTAGGACTGCAAGTAACTAGTCGAGAACCACTTCAAAATAAAAAGATGCCTTGAATTTTAAACTTTTTTTTCCAGGGAGTCGGGAGCAAAAAAAAATGCGTTCGGGACAATGGTGAACTGCTGCTGTTTGTTTCATAACAGACAGAATTCAGTGCGTAACTTCCATAAAAGAAATGGCAAATTGAATCCAAAATAATCTCAATTCTACCTAATCTGGATCATTTCTATTTTTCCCAATCAATGACCAAAATTATGTAACTCAGCAGTGAATATTCTTTAAAATTTAGTTTGTCACATCAGGTGATGCACATTCCCATGGATGCACTTGCCAAAACCTCTATGTCCTGCTTTAGAAAAGGATACTCTTTAAGCTGATTAATTAACCAAAATTTTTATTTTTAAATTAGTCAGACTTAAAAAGTGCAGAGAACCAATAAGGCTGCGGATAGATCAAAGCAAAAAAAAAAATTACTAGTTTTCCATCAAGTATTGTAGAATCTAACCAGAATAGTTGCTTCACTTTAGCCTCTTTTCTCTTTTATGCTGTTTGGACACACACACACTTCATTCAAATGGCAGCACCATCACAAAGCATACATAAACAGCCAAAATGCAACAGGAAAAGAAAAACATGTATTAGGCAATACACGATGGAGCAATTTTTTTTGAATTGCATCAACTCACGCTGCTCCACTACTATCACACAAATTACTACTTGCAATGCATCATGGAGATAAATATTGTTCAAAGTAACCTCCCCAGTCACCAGATATTGGCCCAGGGACATTCTACAGTAGTGATGGAATGTGTTCTTCACAGTTCAATTAAAAACATTAAAGTATCAGATATCCTAGTTGCAATACAGTTAGCTAAAGCATTATACAGCTTCCAGATGTCTGAAGCAATTTCTATATTTTGCAGCTCCAGCAGAGAATTTGTTCAATTTCAACAAAAAAATTGTTCCCACTTGGAAATTGAGAGCCCCCCGAAAAGCACAAACATGCTTCCAGCTGACAGCACAGCAGCAGATTCAAACAATGGATTCCCTGTTTCCTCAGACATTTGTTTGCACTCAGTCTTCAGAAAGAAAGCAAGTCTCCGTGTCCTGTTTTAGAAAAGGATACTCTTTAAGCTGATTAATTAATTAGCCAAAAGTTAGCAAGTTTAGCACAAAGTACCTTTCAGCAGAGATAGAATTTGAGATAACGCACACCTCAGAGAGGGTCTACAAATTAAAACTAGAAACTAAGCAGGCTCACCAGGAAAACAGGTCCATTTAAAATTCTGAGTGAATGCTTAGAACAGTCAGTAAATATTCATGTTATAATTTAATATTCAAATTCATAAGTGATTCGAAAAACTTCAACCCATCTACAGTGACAAAATCATTCACAAATTATTACCATTAACAACCTCAACTTGTGCCAAAAAAACCATTGCCACAAACCTACTGCACACCTATGCCAGTATGAATGGGAAGCTAGCCTGTTTAAACTGGGTAAAATCCTACCAGGTTAAATTGAACACATTACTGACGCTATGATCTCTTTCCCTGGCTAGACAATACTACCAATGTGCAGTGATTTGAAGATACAACTGAAGGATGAGGAGGGGGGGTGGGGTGAAAATCTAAGCATTTACAGTCTTCAATTGGATGCAAATTTTCTACTGACATAAGGGGCCCACTGCCTGGGTAATCGCCCCAATACAAAATGGAATATTGGACAAAGGGTCACTAAACCTTTCATAAGCAAACAAAGAGATTCTCCCCCATCCGCAGTTTATAAACACCTCTGAAGTTTTTTAAAAAAAAAAACGCCATTTCAATGTGGTTCTAGTTTGTAATGTTTAGGCTCACTCTAGCAGTACAGATATGTTGCCCATTCGTGTAGGCACAGTAAATCATCATCCACTACTTGCACCATGAAGAGTGTAAAATAAGCCATTCAACAACTACTTGGACATCGTTTACCAAAATATCAGGCCAAGCTGCATCCAACTAAGGCAGGGGCATTGTAGTAATATCACTGGATTAGTAATTCACACACCCAGGCAGGTGCCCTCGAGAAACAGTTTCAAACCCTTGAGCTTGTTAATTAAGTTTAAATTCCACAAAACATGGAAAATAAAAGCTGGTCTTGGTAACTATAACATGAAACTACCTATCTGGTTCATTAACATCCTTTAGGAGAAAGAAATCTGCCCCTCTTAACTGGTCTGATCTACATATGAATCCAGATTTATAATAACGTGGCTCACTCTGAACTGGCCCAGCTAGCCATCCAGTTCAAAGGCAATTGGGAATGGACAAATGCTAGCTTCGCCACAGGCATGATATCCTATGAAAGAATAAAAAAAAAACACAGACACCAAGCCTCCAAGATGTTCCAGTCATCAATACAAAAGAACCCTCCCTTCCTGTTACAAGTATTGCAACAACATAGATAAAGCAGCTACTTCAACAACATATTGCGATGTACATTTCCCACTAATGTACCTTAAACAAGTCAAGTTCCACGCGGAGACGATTGTTGTCTGACAGCAAGTCTCGATTTCTGCTTTCAGCATGCTCAAGCTGAGTTTCCAGTTCTGCTTCTAATTCACGGCTTCCTTCCTGGAACTCGATTAACTCTTCCCGAGTATTCTGTGCACTAATGGTGGGATCAACAAAATAACGTCAATCATAGTCTTTTTTAAGATTTTGAATTTTCCCAACACCTTGAGCAAAACTAGGGTCTGTAAATACAAGATAACCACTAACAAATCTAATAAAGAATTAAGAGATAGTAGGAACTGCAGATGCTGGAGAATCTGAGATAACAAGGTGCAGAGCTGGATGAATACAGCAGGCCAAGCAGCATCGGAGGAGCAGGAAAGCTGACGTTTCGGGCCTAGATCCTTCTTCAGAAAATGAAGACCCTTTTTCTGAAGAAGGGTCTAGGCCCGAAACATCAGCTTTCCTGCTCGGCTTGCTGTGTTCATCCAGCTCTGCACCTTGTTATCTCAGATTCTCCAGCATCTGCAGTTCCTACTATCTCTAATAAAGAATTAAGCCATTTTACCCAGAGAGACTGCAATATGAAACCACAGGAAGAAATTTTACAGTGATCTCTTTTTCAAAGGAATCAATAAGCGAGATAGAATGGAATGAAGACAGAGTCGGATGAAGACTGGTGGCAGAAGTTTAATCTAGAGTTTATGCACCAGCATACACCATTTAAGTTGAATGGCCTGTTTACACACTGAAAAATTATGTTAAAATATTTCAATTGCAAAGTCAGTACATAACCATTTATAAAACAAGTTAAAGCATCAGTTAGTTGCAAGAAACTGATGGTGAAGGGCATTACGTTTGTGTAAAAAGTGATCAGAACTTTTACAGATGGACATCAGCTTTTAGCTTTACATATTCAAAATGTTCTATTTGTAAATATTCACAATAACCAAACTGAGCCCCACATTTTCTAATTAGTACATCCTTGTTCAGTACTTACCAGTGTTGATATTTTATAGCAAGATCTTTCCAATAAGCAATTTCATCCTCAACGGATTTGAAAGCCATTGTTTCCAAATCATCCATTGCAACAGGTCCAAATTTGCTGTCTACATTCAAACAGAAAGCAATATATATCACACACTATTCAAGTTCAGTAAAGATATTTGCCTGAAAAATACAAGCAGTCATGCGAAAGCTAATATACTTTTTCATTCTCAGGCCAGCCTACCACAGTGTCAGTCCTTCCCACATCCACGTGACGTACAGCTATTATATAGCTGGCATTAAATACCAGGGATAATCTCAAACAACTAACATGTTGTAGCGTGTTTCCTTTTCTTTTAAACTTGAAGGTCTAAGACTGTGACAACAGCTTTAGTAATTTCATCATTACTAAGCTCCCAAAAAATTTTTTTAAAAAAGCCCTCCTTTGTCACACTCTAGCTGTGAACATAAAGGCATAATGCAATGAAGGATCAAATGATAGCTTTGCTGGTATGGCTTAAGTAACGCATAAAGTCATTTTCATAAATCCAGAAAATGCCAGAGTATGATTAAAAAATAATATTTTATTTGCTTTGAAAGAAAGCACATTTCTAGCTATTCTACCAGATCACTTTCTGTGTGAACAAATGCACAATGTGAATAAGTCTTTCTGATGTAGCCTGTGGCACTGGCAAATTCATCACTCTACCTGATACAAAAGTCATAAAAAGGGTCTGTTTATACTTTTCAGGATAGGTACAGAATTGTTATGAAAGTGGTAGGCAGAGCACAAGGCCACCTCAGCAGAGGTGCTTGTGCGTGTGCGTGAAAAAACAAACAGTCCTTAGAAACCTCAATGTCTCCTGGCTCAGTTTTCTTCGTTGATGTTCAACAGGATGGCATCTTGGGCCTTATTAAATACACAGGCCAATAATGATGTGCGGTACAAGGCAAACTAAATGTGATCTCAAGCTAAAGTAATGGGCAAAGGGAAGGTGACGCTCCCACCTCCCTGCTGGCATCGGTCAGTGCTACTCAAATAAGGTGACTAATGCAAGGCAACCAACCAGTCCCCAGAAATAAAGTACATTAACATTCATACGGAGACAGGGGGTGGTTCTCATCCGGAACTGCCTTCCCCAGATAATCAGAAAGATTGGGGAAGAGTTTCCTAACTCTTTAGCTACTGAATCTAATGGCCCTACCACAGCTACAGACCAAAAACTATACACCATCCATTCATTGGCCACCCAGGATCAGTTAGCCACACTCACCTGTTACAGGTGTTTGCTCCTATCTATTTAGCTTTTGCATCAGATCTACACTAAGTTTCTTAATAAACTATCTTAAAGTCACTCAAGTTCTCAATCATGTTTTTTGGGTAATCTATGAATTCTGAACCTTAAAAAGCTTACAAATGGTACAAAGCTAATGCAAAGATAGAACTGAAGTTGTGCTAACCCAATCATGATAACCTGCAGGGTATCATTCCTCAAAAGTACTAATTTTGTGGGTGGAGACATTGGACAATCAGCAGGATTGAGTCTATATATATTTATGATGTGGAGGTGCCAGTGTTGGACTGGGTGGACAAGGTCAGAAATCACACGACGCAGTGTTCCGTGTGCTTCTTTCTCACTTCACCCGAAGGAGCAATGCTTCAAAAGCTTGTGTTTTCAAATAAACTTGTTGGACTTTAACCTAGGCTCGTGCGATTTCTGACCTTATGTATATTTATGTTTAACATTTTACTTAACTACACTACTTTATAAAGATCTTAAAACTGATGGTTGTAAGGAAAAAGAATCATCCTCCAAATGCAATTCTGCCTTTCAGAGCAACTCAAAAATCAATAAATAGGGTGGGTACGGCAGTGTTTAGCATGCTTGCCTTCATTGCTCAGACCTTTGAGTAAACGAGTTGGGGCATCATGTCGAGTTTGTATAGTACATTGGTGAGACTTATTCTGGAGTAGTGTGTCCAGTTCTGGTCTCACTGTGATAGGAAGGATATTAAGCACCTGGAGAGGGCTCAAAAGAGATTTATCAGCATGTTGCCCGGAATGGAGGGTGAGAGTTATAAGGAGAGGCTGGATAGGCTGGGATATTTTTCCACTTGAGCATAGGAGGTTGAGACGTGACCTAATAGAAGCTTCCAAGGTCATGAGAGGTATAGATAAGGTGAATGGCAGGTGTCTTTTCCCTGGGGTGAGGGATTTCAAGACTAGATGACAGGAGAAAGATTTTAAAAAGACTGAGGGGTAACGCAGTAGTTCATGTGTGGAATGAACTGCTAAAGGAAGTGGTAGATGCAGGTACAGTTACAATGTTTAAAAGACATTTGGATATGTACATGAATAAGAAAGATTTGGAAGGATATGGGCCAAGCGCAGGCAGGTGGGACTAATTTAGTTTGGATTATGTTCAGCTTGGACTGAAGGGTCTGTTTCCATGCTGTATGACTCTTAACAAAAAACAAACACCCATTGCTTTAAACATTAATAAGTAGGTAACACTGTGGGACACTAATGTATTGGTGCATTAATTGCTCTCCTTTAACATTTCAAAAGTAGAAAAATGCCTCTCTTGTCCCCAAGTAAACATTATTTCACATAATATTGTTCCCTATTAAATACTTTTTTTGCTTTGTTTTGATTCTTATTTGGTATGATTCTAAATATACCACGGGCGAGTGTGTGAAATAATGCGGAAACCAGACAGTAAGCATCAACTTTGAATCAGAGATAGTAGGAACTGCAGATGCTGGAGAATCCGAGACAACAAGGTGCAGGGCTGGATGAAC